ATTTTGTATTTGAGTCGCAGTTATTCCTATCAGTTATTTATGAGATTCTTCACTGTTAAACTTATTACATCATGTTTTCAATTTAAAATTCATATTTATTTTGTGATTGTCGACTTGCCTAGTACTGTGATAGGCGCCATCACGACATGTTGATATTTGGGTCGTGATAAGTACACTCATACTCAGCACACTCACAGTGCTTGGCACAAGTGCCCCTCACCATCACACACACAACCACACTCAGCATTGTACGGGTGCCTGGCACAAATTTCCCTCACTAAAGCACATATATAATATCGTACCTACGCTCACTGTAATATCAGACTCCGGAGGGGCGGATCCTTTCCCAAGCGCTAATCAACAATCAATATAATTGTTGCAACGTGCAACCCGATCCAGATATTAATCTGTTGCGGCGTGCAACCCGATCCAATATAAAATCACAATACGACTCTATGACCCACATCAGTCATCAACCGCTCAAGTCTCAATGGCTCACATCTCATAGAACTCGGCTCAAATAACATCACATATAGAAGGCAATAACAACATATGTTATCACATACAAATAATGTATAGAGACTGAGATATAATATGCGGATGAAGAATTATGACTGAGAATATGAGTACAATAAGACAAACAGTTCAAAATAGCAAGAATAGCCATATCAAGTAGGGAAAACACGGATATAACGAGGCATGAAAGCAAACAAGTCTTATGGTATCCTAAAGTCTACCTGGATCATAACTAGCCAAGTGTACGCACACACGCCTGTCACCTAGCACGTGCGTAATCCCCAACACATCTCAAGTATCATAGTTAACATGGATAATTACCCTCAAACCAAGTTTAGATATGTTACTTATCTCAAAACGCATGAATCAATACTCCAAAAAGTATTTCCCACGTGAATCAACCTCCAAGCTCGAATCTAGTCAAAGGAACTCAATATAATCAATAAAAGCCATAGGAAACAACCCCAAACAATAAAGCTAAGATCTTGGTCCAAATATGCAAAGCCAACCCAAAAAGCCAACCATGGGCCCGCACCCCAAAACCTGACAAAACTCACAAATCTCGAACACCCACTCCACTACGAGTCCAAATAAATGTGTTTCATCCAAAATCGACCTCAAATCGACCCTCAAATCATAAATTTTTACTCTCCAAAATCATAGAAAAAGATCCCCAAATTTTACCTTTAATTCACCTAAACTAGGTGTAATAATACATGGGTAATTAATATCTAATGATGTTTTAACTTCAATACCACACAAGAGGGGGGTGATTTGTGTGGTGTCCAATTTTTCGCGTGCACGAATTATGGAAAGACCTGGTTCTTCTATGTATTCCTTATACTACTGTTGCAGAATAATAAATGCAGAAATTAAAGAACACAAAGATTCTTATGTGGAAAATACCTGGCTCAAAAGGTGAAAAAACCACGACCTACTTCCCAGTAGGATTTTCCCAAAACTCTTCACTAAATCACTGAGCCAAAAATTGCATTTACAAAATACTTTTGTAAGCCTAGGATTAACTCTAATCCCGTTGTGGCACACAGCCTCTAACTATTGCGACAACTTCAAGTTAACTCTAACTTGAATACTCTGAGTACCTATTACAATTGCCTCTAGATAAAGCTGAAAGGTACAATATGAAAACACCTACTACAATTGAACTAGAATAAAAGACAGACACTTGGAACTGGTTCTTGTATCTGGTTCATGTAGCTTCAGGTTCGTACACTTGAATCACACACGAACTGCTTGCAAAATGCCTTGCTATTTTGCTCTCAATTCACGTTTAACTTTTGCTTTTGTGCGTCCCATGTAGAATGAGAACTTCCTACGATTTATAGAGTTAGTAGAGTAGAAAACAACTAGAGTTCTAATGCTACTCTTCCTTGGTGGAAGAGTTCTAGTTGATCTCAACCTCTAACTCCTCCCTTATCTTAGATAATTTTCTCGTTGAGTAAGGAGACCTTCTCCTTATCAATTATGCAATCTTTTCGATCAGGAGATATCTATTATTATGTTAGATTTCGTTTATCTCCTGTATGTGCATCTCATGTGCTTTGAATATGCCCGTGTCTATGCCTACCAGTGATGGACCTGGTTCATCCCTGAGTTCCTTTATCAATCTTCAAAACTATCCTTTCCTTGGGCCAACAAATTCCCCATTTTTGATGATGACAAATTTTGTGCTTCCATAAGCTTAGGCCCTGTTTCAACTTAGCTCAACATCAACACAATGTTAGAAACATTTTTTCTTTTTATCACTTATCATCAAGGACCATGTTTATTAGGTTATAAATATCACTATTCAAAGTGTAAAGCACAACCTTTTTCTCCCTTTTGGCATCATCGAAAAGTTGCATAAAAACTGTAAGATAACCAGATTTTAAAACTTACTCATGGCCACTGGAGTTACTTCAAATGCAATCATGGATTAATCATCATAGATCAAGCTAAGAATTTTAACCATCAAAGAAATATAAACAAACAGTTAGAGAAAAAATAGTGAATTTCATTGATGATTAATAAGATTCTACCACAAAGCATAAGAAGAAATAAAAATACTGAAAACATGAGCAAACAAAAAACATCCCAAACTGGGTCACTGGTTGATCTACACTAGGCTAGGAGGCTTAAGGCTTGGAAGAACTAGGTGCTTGGTTTTTTTTTTGGCTTGGAGAAGTTTCAGGATATCTTGAAGAATTCCATCATTTTTCTCCTTTTCCCTTGCTAGTTCAGTTCTGAGAGCATCTCTCTTAGACTCTACCTCAGCCAACCTTTTCTTCAGCCTCTCAATCTCAGCATCCTTAGCCCCACTTTCTTGCACCAAGGCTCGCACCTTGCTATTCACTAGTACCTTCTTAGATGAACCAGGTTCTTTAGGAGTGACATGGACTTCATAGTCACAAGCAGGTAGCGTATTTGCCCCAAAATGATCCTTGCTTGTACCAACCTCCCTTTCTTCTTTGGATTATAACTCTCAGTCACTCTCTTCAGTAGGTCTGCGAGGGTTTCCTGTTCAGATGAAACAGGTTCATCTATATTTTTCCCAAGTTGAACCAGCCCTTCTCGGCTTCGCCAGACCCACTTCCCCCTGTTTTCTTTACACTCTCCTCTACTCCAGCATATTTTTCTTCCCAAACAACCATTGCACTTGTGTCTTTGGTTAAACTCACAGGAGTGGGTGAAGAATCAACCACTCTTTTACCCTTTCTCCTCACAGCACTTCGAACACCCTTGCTCTCTTTTTCTTTTTCTTTTTCATTTTTACCATTAATTCCTCCAGACTCTGTAGTTTCAACACCTGCTATAGACCCTACTAGTATAAACCTATTCTCCAAATTTGTTCTCTCCCTGCAACAGCCTTGCGAGCAAGCATCTTTACTCTTTTCTTAGAGGTTGGGGTGGTGGAAGGGATGATAGTGAGTGTGGAAGTCTAATCAAACTGAATTTCAGTTTTGAAAAAATTTTGGAGTGTATCCCTAGAATCTAGGTACTTCAATTCGGTTGAGACTCTTTTGAACAGAATTGGTTCACTTGTAACAGATAAGTCCAAAAGGAGTTTGTGAAGATGTCAGCTATTTACTTGTCAGTAACACAAAATTCCACAGTGATCAATCATTTTTCATAGTTATCCCTCAAAAAGTGATGCCTAACATCTATGTGCTTAGTTGTCTTATGATGAACCAGGTTCTTGGTCATACTAATTGCACTAGTGTTATCACAAAAAATAGGGATACAACCAACATCAATTCCAGAGTCCATTAATTGTTGTTTGATCCACAACAATTGAGCACAACATGAAGCAGCAACAACATACTCAGCTTCAACAGTAGATAAGGCCACTGAATTTTACTTTTTGGTAGCCCAAGACACAAGACATGAGCCAAGAAAGTGTGCCATACCTGAGGTGCTCTTTCTATCCACTAGAAAACCTGCATAATCAGCATCAGCATATCCCACTAGATTGAAATTACTACCTTTTGTATACCATAGACAGAGATCAGTGGTGTCTTTTAGATGTCTCAAAATTCTCTTGACAACAGTCAAGTGAGACTCCTTTGAATTTGCCTGAAATCTTGCACAAAGGCCTACACTGAAAACAATGTTAGGTCTACTAGCAGTGAGATACAACAATAAGCCAATCATTCCCCTATACAACTTCTGATCGACAGATGAACCAGGTTCATCCATATCCAACTTTGCAGCTGTTGCAATATGAGTGTCAATTTTTTGGAATCTTCCATTTTAAACCTTTTAAGCAACTCTTTTACATATTTCTGCTGATGGATCATAGTTCCATTTGAATTTTTTTAAATTTGTAAGCCTAAAAAGAAATTAAGCTCTCCCATCATGCTTATTTCAAATTCACTCCTCGTTAGTTTAGCAAATTCTTTATTTAACTTATCAGTAGTTGCTCCAAATATTATATCATCAACATATATCTGAACTATTAAAAAATCTTTATCTTTTGCTTTCAAGAACAAAGTATTGTCAATTTTGCCTCTCTTGTAGTCATGCTCAAGCAAAGATTTTGATAATCTTTCATACCATGCTCTTGGTGCCTGCTTGAGCCCATAAAGTGCTTTGTCAAGTTTGTACACATGATCAGGATTTTCCTTGTTCTCAAACCCTGGAGGTTGTTTGACAAACACTTTTTCCTTCAAATAGCCATTTAGGAAGGCACTCTTGACATCCATCTAGTGAATGGTGAATTCCATGTAGGCAGTAAAGGCTATGAGGAGCCTTATAGCTTCCAACCTTGCCACTGGGGCAAAAGTCTCATCATAGTCTATGCCTTCCTCCTGACTATATCCTTGAACCATCAATCTTACTTTGTTTCTTGTAACGGTTTCATCTTCATCAAGTTTATTTTTGAAGACCCACTTAATGTCAATTACTGATCTATCCAAGGGTCTTGGTACCATATGCTAAACTTGACTCCTTTCAAATTGGTTGAGTTTATTTTGCATTGCATTTACCCAATCTGCAATTACTAGTGCTCGAAGGGTCTAAAATACCCGATTAACACAAAAACGAAAAAGGAAGACGCTAACCCACAAAACTTGAGCATGAATATGGTCCTTTTTTTTTGTTGGTAAATATGAATATGGTGTTTTAACATCACGTGATCCGTTTTTGTATAAAATCGTACACCATTTCCTTTATTCTCAAAACTGGAATAGATCCCTCCGAACGGCTCCTTGAATAGTCACTGCTGCATTTTTTCCCAACTCCAAACCAAGCTTCATATTTTTCGCGAAATACCAGAAGACAAGACATCGTATGTGTTAGCTTTATATTAAATTGGTAGTATCCTCTCTATTGAAATGCAAAATGGACTCCTCATGCTTAGATTGTTTGATTGAAATTAATAACAGAACGCTGGTTTTCCTTTTGCCTTCTCTTAGGGTTTAGGGTTTGTTTGATTAAGAAGTGGGATATTCTTTAATAATCTCGAGCTATTAATTTGATAAACAACTTTTTTGGGTCGATTTTATTTACAATTTTAATTGCACCAATAATGAGTTTCCCTATTAAATTTCTAGTACTTTATAGACCCAATTTTGAAGTCTTGGACTCTTTAAAGTTTAATTTTTGAACTGTGACTTGTTTGTATATCTGCATGCATGTGTGTCAATGTAGTAAAAAAGGAGCTTTTTTTTCTTTCTCTATGTAGGTCTTCTTCCACTTTGTTTAATGTGCTTTATTTTATATTTATTTATGTTTTTTAATCTTTTTTGTTCCTGGAACTTCATTACTTGCAGAACTTCATTTCCTTCCAGACTGAATATACTGGTTTTATTAAGCAAGAGGTAACCATTGTTTGTTTGGAGCATATAATGAAATCCTTTTGAAATGCACCAGTATGGGGTTTGTCATGGAGGGCATCTAATGCTATATTTTTCATATTTGATTTAATGCCGCTATATTTTGTCTTGAGATTCTTTTGGTAAAATATGGCATGACATGCTATGTACTTCTGCACTGTGTTTTCTACCATGTTATCCATTGTTTAGTTCGATGGTTGTATAACATGAAATTTTATCTTTTGGCATGTTTTTACATATGTTTCTTAGTCCTTATGTTTCAACATATTGCATAAATATTCTGATGTGAAACCACTGATGTTTTCCAGGGTTGCTTCTGATTTGGCCATCCTGCCATGGCTAATAATTCTCACTTCACTGGCATGCAGGTATCCCTTCCAGAAGAATCTTTTTCCCTTTTCCTAAAGTTAGAAAATTTCGGTTTAATATAAAATTCTTATGCATTCTCTGGTATTTATACATCAAATACTTTGGTATCTCTGGTACATCGAATACGTTGGTGTCAAAATCTGTGTATGTAGAGAATAAGGTTCTACCACTTTTTGTATACCACTTGTATACCGGAATTTTCCTCCACTACATCAATGAACGTTACTTTATCAGAAAAGGCTTCTCGGAAGGCACAGTAGTTGCTGAATGGAGGTGTGCCAAGGTATAATGAATATGCAATCTGTATCATTCATACACACACATGTGTGTGTGTGTGTGTGTGTGAGAGAGAGAGAGAGAGAGAGAGAGAGAGAGAGAGAGAGAGAGGGAGATTTTGTCTTAATAACAAAAATGTAGTCTTTCAATAGTTTTGTTTGAAATCTGTTATGAGAACAACTATCCTAGGCCTAATCCTCTTTACTAATTTTGTTAGAATCTTACGCCTTCTCTATCAGTAGTCTTCTGCCTTGACTTACATATGTCTAGACAATATACAATTTTTTCCTGATAAGGAAAGGAAGGTACACCGTTGCCGGGGATTGAACCCCGGTCACCCACGTGAGGCAATATACATAAATGGAAGTACGTTCTTCTAAAATCTTCCTGAGTACTGCTCCTGGAGAATTTGTTTGTGTCTTATATGTGTTTACTATTAACTTGAATGTTGTTGCTATGAAACTAACCCTTATTAACAAAGAGGTGACGTGGTTTGTCAGTCTGCTCTGTTTACTTTGGTGGTGGATATTTAGAGTAAGAAAGATCTGAAAACTGATGTGCAGTAGGTAAAAGAATTGGTTGAGATTCTATTATCACGTTTGCTTTCGGTTTTCGTCTTTTACTGACAACATTCTTTTCCTGGATAATATTGATAGCAGAGCTCTGTCCCTATCATTCTTCAGTCATATTTTGAATTTATTACAGTTAATAGTTGAGACATCTGTGCTGCTGTTAGTGTCTCTACGAGCATAGAGAAGTTGAGGATAGCTTCCATTAAGGACTAGTAGGTTGATCTGTTTTGTTTCTGCTTTCTTCTTGACGGGGCTGCCTTTAGAGGACACCTCTGATTTGATACATTTAGGGACCAAGTTCTGGAATGGAACTCCTAGAGGCTTTCTGATTGGAAATTACTTCATTATTTCCCTGTTGTTTGCTTTGGTTTGTTGCTTTACTCTTCCTGAGTTTGATAATCAAAATATTTCTTAATATTTATCCTTATAAGAGTATGGGTGATGCATGTTCTTTCTAAAATGGATTGACAAAAGGTTACGTGGTTGGAAACTTGTTGACCACTCTAAGAAGGAGAGGAGGAGGAGGAGGAGGAGGAGGAGGAGTAGTAGTAGTAGTAGTAGTAGTAGTAGGTTATCTAAAAGCGTTTCCTTGGAGAGGTTAGTTTTGGCACTCATCTTTGGAGTCTAACAACTTCTGTAAAACTTATGACAATAGAGACAACTAGAGCTCAAGGTCTACTGACAGAGGTTCCTATTCCAATCCTTGGATGTTTCTCCTTAAGTTACTAGTTTTCCCTGTTAAAAATAGATATTTGTTGGGCAAATAGCATTTTTAGTCCCTATGTTTTAATTAGATTATCTGCCATTACAAAGAAACCTTTCCTCTCCTTTTCTTGTAGAATTCTTCAACTGAAGACTAAGAACTTTCCTGAAATTCAATGGTAGTGTTTGTCTCCCATGTACTTAACAATTGCATACGGGACTTGAACTTCCTTTTCCATTCAGAGCCAACAGAGACTCCTTGATTATCTGCAATATTTCCATCTCAATCTTAAGAACACTGAAATTCTAAGCTACAAAATCTAAATTCACCAAAATTGGCAAATGAAAATGATGAGCTGAGCAAAACTGAGAGTAACACCATATGAAATACTAGTGAATGTGAAAGTAGCGATAAAAAAATGGAGGTTTTCTCGAGGGTAAGGAGAATGAATAATACCCTCGGCAAATTTCTGGGTTTCTTCCCATTGATATAACAGGTTTTTTCGTCGCCAGATGCTGCTCGTTATCCTTGGAAGCCTCTGCCTGCGGCTGCTGCTTGACGGTGGGGTTCTCCACTTCTCCTGTTGCTCCCATGAATTTTTGTTCTGAAACTATGTAGGATTTGATTAAATGTAAGCTCAGATGAGCTTTGCATGCTTAAACGAGATAGAAACAGAACATGACGATAACAAATGCAAAGTGTAGTCTTGAGTGTTCAATGTTGCTTTTTAACTTATTGCCACGTCTGATGACTAACCCACCAGAATACAATACAAGAAATAATTTATGGAGTACAAAACAAGGGAAAATTAGATGCCTGAATTTGTTGTCCTTAATGTTTAACAGCCCATAATTTTGTTTGATGTTCGTTTGTATAAGGACTAGACACACACATTGCTTAATTGAAGGTCAAATGTGCTTCTTCACATATCCAAGGACTAAAAAGTAATAATGCAATAACACATGGACTAAAAATGCTATTGGCCCTATTTTTTAGTAAGGTAATTAATTTTAATTAATGTAAGGGAAATCCCCGTATACAAGTAGTATACCAAAAAGTAGAGCAACTTAGACCGAACTATGTTTCTCTACAAAAGTCACCTAATCATCTATACAAACAAGGACCTTATGGGTGTACCAAAAAGGAACTAGAGACAGGAGGTTGCTCCTTACATGTACAAAATCATCCTCGACCCCTTCAAACGCTCTCCTATTCCTTTCCCTCCAAACTACCCACATAAATAGCTACTGGAACTACATCCCATGCCTTGGGTCTTCTCCTCCTCCTGAAAGCTCAGCTGTACATTGCCTCCTTTACTGTTCTTGGCGTGACCCATTGTACTCTTAAGCAGTTTAGGACCTCCCACCATAGGCGCGTAGCTACTTGACAATGTAGTAGTAAGTGGTCCACATCTTCTCCTGAACAATTACACATATAGCACCAGCTAACATGTCTGATTCTCCTTCTCAAATTCTTGGCAGTCAATATTGCTCCCTTAGCAGCCAACCACACAAAGAAGCGCCGTTTTTTGGGCGCCCTTGGTATCCTAATCGAAAAATGGGGTGAAGTCTACTTCATTCCTTACTAGGAGTTTGTGATAGAATAATTTGACTGAGAACTGTCTATCCCTCCCCTTCTCCCATCTCCAACTGTCAAGTACAAGGTGCAATGCATACTGTTTGTAAAGTAGTTCTACTTTTTGCGTCACTTGGCCATCAGTTTGTTTTCATTTTTCTTCTGCCTGACGGTGCTTTCCGTTCATCCCGTTTTAGTGTAGATTCCTTTTCTTCTAAGTTTAGATGAGAGTGAGGTGGACGATTTCATGTATTCTTAGAAAGTTACTTCATTTTCTGGCCAATTCTCAGTGTTAATTTTCTTGGAAGGTTTGTCATAAGTTAAAAGATTCAGTACTCTGCAATTACCTGGGAAAGACAGGCAGAGCCCTTAACAGCTGATTTGGACATTGTGGCTCAAAAGTAGAAAGAACTAGTTGGCTCGGATAGGTGTATCAATGGATAGTGAGTGGGGTGGAATGAGACTATGTCAGATGGTTATTAAAAAGTAACCACACCCTTGTAGAATAACAACTCCAACTCAATAAACTACCAGTGAGTTGCATCTTAACTAGCTTAGCTGAAGTCTCACTAATATATTCTAGTTCTTTCCTAGTTTGACACAATTTTTGCATTAAAAGATGTGTTTCTTGTAACCCGAAAAGAAAAGACACTTTGTCCATCAGAAGCAGTTGAACCCAAGCCTTTAGGTAAAGATGCTTATAATTTTGTCCATTCTGGTCAAGCGCTATGATAGGCCATATGTTTGCTATCTGTCGTTATTCTCATTTCAAGCTTTGTATTGATTAGATGATGACAGTGGTTGAGCCACACCAGTTATTTTGTACACAGTTTTACACCATCTTGTTATTATGAAAGATTATCTGATTTATCAAAACAAGAAAAAGGTTTTCATGTTACTATCCGTTTTGTCTCCCAGATTCAGGTCTTGTCCTTCGAATTAATTTAGGCAGTTGTGCATGGATACTCTCAACATTGTTGCAATGATTGGAAAATCAACTAAATGTGATTGAAAAGTAGTTATATTGCTGATTTCATCTGTTCTCCCTTGCATGAATGTTGGTTGAGAAAGCCTCCTATACCGCCTTTGGCTGGTCCTCCAGGTCCTCATCAAGGTGCTATTCCATCCATGTCGCTGCAGGTAAAGTTTTTTACGTATTTTGGGGGCTGGGGTGGAGGGATAAATGGTGTTTGACTGTAGAATTGCTATGATAATTATGTTTCCCACGTTTTAGCAGTTCCAGCCTATGCTTCCACCCCAGCAGGCACAACCATATGTTTCCGGGCCATCTCAACAATTTCAGCCACTTGGACATACAAATGTTGCAATGCCTCCTCAACCTTCACAAATCCAATTTCCTCAACCAATGCAACAGGTTGCTGGTAGACCTGTAGTAGGAGGACATATCATGCCTCAAGGACCACCTACTCCCCATGATTTTCAGCGAAATAGGCCTGTCACTCCTGTTCAAGCACCACTTCAGCCAAATCTTCCAATGTCAAATAACCACATGCCTGGTGCAGGTGGCCCAAGTTTGCCATTATCTTCTTCATATAATGTAAGACCTTGAGAAGAGCTCTTGTGGTTATTGTTTTATTAGTTTTCAATGTTCGTAGAAAGGAGAGATGGTTGGCATCTCCCCTGACAGCCTTCGGGCTTTACCTGTTACAACACATCCGGTTAAGGCTTCCCGCTTCGGTGGATCTTACCCCAATTTTTTCCATCTCCAAAAAAAAAAATGTTTTCTTTCATCATATTGTTGAAATTCATCATTTCTGTTGTCATCTTCATCTTGTGGGAAACAGCAGGTAAATGCAGATTCTTCCAGCTCCCAGTATCAGATGCAGACACATGATCATAGTTTTCCGTCAGGGGGACAACCCTGGATGTCAACAAGTAATCATAATGTGAACTCTGTGACAAATATGCAGAAGACTGGGGAACTAGCAGCCCACTTGGCTGTTCCAGTGAGAATTCAATGTGTTTAATTGTGTATGTTTCTATCTGTTTCAATGTTTTTAATATATTTTGGGTTTCAGGAAGCTGTTTACGGGGTTGACTCTGTTGAGACTGCTCTGTCAGATTGGATTGAGCATGCTTCTCGAAAGGGGAAGAAGTATGTGATTACCTTCTTTTCTTGTCTTTAATTCTTGGTAACATGTTAAGGTTAATGGGTGTGTGTAACGGCTAAAAGAGTCAAATTTCAATTCTATGATACTGCAATTTCTGTTGAGGCTACTCCGTCAGATTGGATTGAACATACTTCTGGAAATGGAAAGAAGTATGTGATTTCCCTTTTTGACTTGGCTTTAATACTTGGTAACATGTTAAGGTTAATGGGTGTGTGTAGTGACTAAGAGAGTCAAATTTTCAATTCTATGATACTCCAATTTTTGGTAAGCAAACGTTTAAGATTCCAGTGAATGTACTGATATAAAATATTGGTATACAAGAAAAGGTGTGGAAAAGTATTAGCTTTTCATCCAGATCCAATCATTTATAGTTTGAGTGCTCTAGACACTAAAAGAAGAGCATGCCGAATTTGACTTATCGGAATCCTTGCTTTTGGATTATATTCACCTAGGTTACTCATAAGAATATGACGTTCAATTCCCTAGAACACGTGTATTTGAGAGTTGTGAGAAGGCACGGGAGAAAATATGTTATTGATATTGGATGATAAATACAATACAAGAGGTCCCTATTTATAGCTATACACTACAAGGAGATATTACTCCTCTTCCAATGTGAGACAAGACTACACTATACATATCTATAAACTAACACTCCTCTCAAGCCGGTGCATACACATCATATGTACCGAGCTTGTTACACATGTAACTAATACGAGAACCAGCAAGAGACTTAGTGAAAATATCTGCTAGTTGATCATTCGACTTTACAAACTTTGTAACAATATCTCCTGAAAGTATTACAAAGTGACAATCGATCTCAATGTGTTTAGTCGTCTCATGAAACACCGGATTTGACGCAATATGAAGAGCAGCTTGGTTATCACACACTAGTTCCATTTTGCTGATTTCTCCGAACTTTAACTCCTTGAGCAACTGCTTGACCCAAACTAACTCACACGTCGCCATAGCCATGGCCCGATATTCGGCTTCGGGCCTAGATCGAGCAACTACATTCTATTTCTTGCTCTTCCACGAGATCAAATTACCTCTTACTAGAACACAATATCCAGACGTAGAACGTCTATCAAAAGGTGATCCTGCCCAATCAGCATCTGTGTACCCAACAATCTGCTCGTGGCCTCGATCCTCGAATAGTAATCCTTTGCCTGGAGCTGACTTTATATACCGAAGAATGCGAACAACTGCATCCCAGTGACTATCACAGGGAGAATCCATAAACTGACTTACAACACTCACCGGAAAAGAAATGTCAGGTCTAGTCACTGTGAGGTAATTCAATTTGCCAACCAACCTCCTATATCTCGTAGGGTCTCTAAGAGGCTCCCCCTGTCCAGGCATAAGCTTAGCATTCGGATCCATAGGAGAGTCAATAGGTCTGCAACCCATCATTCCAGTCTCCTCAAGAATGTCTAAGGCATACTTACGCTGTGAAATAACAATACCTGAGCTAGACTGAGCGACCTCAATACCTAGAAAATACTTCAATCAGCCCAGATCCTTAGTCTGGAAGTGCTGAAAGAGATGTTCCTTCAGATAAGTAATACCATCCTGATCATTACTAGTAATAACAATATCATCAACATAAACCACTAGATAAATACACAGATTAGGAGCAGAATGCCGATAAAACACAGAGTGATCAGCCTCACTACGAGTCATGCCGAACTCCTGAATAATTGTGCTGAACTTACCAAACCAAGCTCGAGGGGACTGTTTCAAACCATATAGTGACTTGCGCAATCTGCACACACAACCATTAAACTCCCCCTGAGCAACAAAACCAGGTGGTTGCTCCATATAAACTCCTTCCTCAAGATCACCGTGGAGAAAAGCATTCTTATTGTCTAACTGATAAAGAGGCCAATGACGTACAACAACCATGGACAAAAAGAGACAAACAGATGCTACTTTAGCCACGGGAGAGAAAGTATCACTATAATCAAGCCCAAAAATCTGAGT